AGAACCCTATGTAAGGCTGGAGCATATATGGTGTTAGCTGCAAGTTTTTGGAAATCTCACGAACAAGACCATAAACTTTGTTTATAGTGAAAATGTCTTAGTTTCCTTGTGTGGCCGACCATGTGTCCTGTGGCTTTACCTTGTCTATCAGCTGTTACCCTCTTCAGTACACCTCAGAGACTTCACCCTATGATCTCATTTAAGCTCTTTATCAGTCCTTTGAGATAACTACAGAAGCCATCCCCAGATCAGGTGTACGTGGCTCACTTGAGGACTGTCTTCTGAAAAGGCCAAATACTACCCTATACTACTGGGGTTTGATTCTCAGCACCTACATGGTGGCTAACAACTATTTGTAACTCCAGTTCCAGGGGATCCAATGCTCTCTTCTGACCTCCATGGCATTGCACATGGGTGCACCTACTTATATCTGGGCTCAAATCCCAGCACCCACATGGCAGCTAATAACTGTCTGTAACTCCAGTCCCAGGGGATCCGACAGCCTCTTCTGACCTCCTCGGGCATTGCACGACATGGGTGCACGTACCTACATGCGGGCAATACACGCATACACATAAAATAAAGTCTTAAAAAAACTAATAGTAGCCAGGCATGGTGGTGCACATCTTTAATCCCAGCACTCCGCAGAGGCAGAGGCGGGTGGATCTCTGTTTGGCCAGCCTGGTCTACATAGTGAGTTCCAGGACAGTTGGGGCTACAAGGAGATCCTATCTCAAAAAGACCAAAAAACAAACAAACGAAAACCCCTAATACTAAATAAACCAAACCAAACAAGAACTCAGGATTCTATAGGCAGTGTGTGAAGCTGCCACCTATGTGGGGGAAATTCTGTATACAGCAATAGGTAACTAACAGTACCCTAGACTGCAGGCTCATCACCATCTCTATGCACCCCCTGGAGGAACCCTTCCTGGAAAGGGGAGCTGTTGTTTCCAGTTCTCATGTTCCCTCAATGACCTGCCCTGTCCAGGCAAGGGCATGGGATCTTCCTGCAGCCCTGCAGAAATGAGAATCGAGTGTCAGCCCACACAGCCTTCCACATTGGCTTCTCTTGGCAAATCGCAGGCTCTGGTGGAGGTGGTGTCCATTTTTGTGACTACGAAGACGAGATGTGTACCTTGGTGGAAGCCCCTAGGGACCACAACACTAAACCTGAGGTTCTGCCCCCCCACCCCCAATTGCAAGGGATTTCAATAGTCAAATATGGCTGTGAGGGAGATGGGGCTGATGCTGGCAAGCACTCAGTGGTGGAACGCTTGGACAGGATGTTTCCTACCAACCTAGAACATTCTCTACTGTGGGACAGGGCCAGGGCTCAGAGGTGGGAGGCAGGCTCTGGAGGTGACAGACAGGACCCAAATCTACTCAGCGGATTCAAGTAGTGTTTCTTGTCACTGGGGTACACAGGTGAGAGCTGGAGTGAGCTAAGACTAGGACTTGCAGCATAGGGCAGTTGCGTTCAAGAGAGAGTTCATCCAGCTGAGAAAGCCCACAGAAAACTGAATTGGTCTCCAGCTTGCAGGACAAATGGGAAGGATGGAGGAAAGGAATGAAAGAGCAGAGAGCTGCGTGGTGAGCCACACCCATACTCTCAGCACTTGGGAGGCAGAGGACTAAGTTCAAGGCCATGCTAGATTACAAGAGATCCGGTCTCCAAAAAAAAAAAAAAAACACACAAAAAACCCCCAACTCCTCCAAACAAGCACAAAAGGAAAGAGGGCAAGACAAACCACCCTCGAAAACAAAACAAAAGGATGGACAAGGGGTGCGACTGACTTCAAACAGGGTCATCTTCAGCTGTAGCCACCCGGGGGCCAGGCGCCACCCAGTGGATGAATCAGAAAATGACTGAGACCAGGAGAGAGGACCTTAAACCACTTACAGTCCGGTTTCTGCAGAAATGAAACTTTGGGCTGGTCATGATGCCATACACCCGCACAGTCAGGGGTGGGGTGTGGGGAGCAGGCCTGGTCTACTTAAAGAGAGTTTCAGGCCAATCAGAGCTATAGAGTGAGACCCTGTCTCAAGAAAGGCTAAATTTTGTTTTGGCTTTGTTGAAATTTGCTGTTTGATATTGAAAATACATTCTTAATACATGTGGTAATGTAATACATAGCCTCAATGGGTACTTCTTGCTTTTTATTTAAATATTTTATTATTTTATGAGTATATTGCCTACATGTATGTAAGTGCATCCATGTCCTGCAATGCCCAAAGAAGGTGCTGCATCCCCCTGGAACTGGAGTTACAGATGGTTGTTAGCCACCATGTGGGTGCTGGGACTTGAACCCAGCAATAGCCAGTGCTTAACCGCTGAGCCATCTCTCCAGCCCCCATGCTTTATGGTTTTTGCTAATGACTTATTACTTGCTGTTTATCTTAAATCTATACAATGGAAATGGTGTTAGACAAAATGTAAATGATAGCAATTTTCTATTTAAATGGGTTGTAAAGCATCAAAAACAACAACAACAAAAAAAAAAAAACAAAAAACTTGCACCACCACCACCAATACACTTACCCCTAGGACCTAAAAACATAGTGTGGTGGTGGTGGTTCAAGGTTTGCAAAGATGAAAGCTCAGTGACTGGTCACAGGAAGTTGATAATGACCAATAAAGAGCAATCATCAAAGTTGGTTCTTGGCTCAGGGGTTAAGAGCATTTACCACTCTTCCAGAGCACCTGGGTTTGTTTCCCAGGACCCAGGTAGTTAATACTTATCTTTAATTCCAGCTCCAGGGGATCCAACACCCTCTTCTGGCCTCCACAGGCAAACAAGCATGCACGTGGTAAACTTAAACACATGCAGGCAAAACTCATAAAATGAAATTTTGTTTTTTGAGACAGGGTCTCCGTATAGCTGGGCTGGAACTCACTATGTTGCCCTACATGGCCTTGAATTTACATACATCTGCCTGCCTTGTTCTTCCGAACGAATGCTGGGGTGAAAGCCGTGCCCCACAACGCCCAACAGATAAAACCTTAGTGACCTTCACCAAAGAACTTAATGTGGACCATTTCTCTATTATCCTCCCTTGTTCTCTTCAACAGGGCAACATTTACTAGGTAGTGTCGAGTCCTGTAGCTGCTAATATTCAAGACTTGACAAAACACTTTCCTTCAGTGACACGGCTCTTATGACATGCCAGGCTCTGGCTGATCCCTTTACAGATATACCAACCCATCCAGGCCCAGCTAACAGTAGAGCAAACTGGGAGGTAATGTCACTTGCCCAGGTCTCATAGAAAGTTTGTGGCTGAGTGTGGCTGTAGGGACACTGACTTTGATCATGACTGCTGTGTCCCCATCCCTCTCAACATGGTTTGATAGGCAACAGTTCCCAATGCCACCCATGTGCCTGAAGGGCCTTTCATCTCATTCTGCCCTCACAAAGAATATGAAGTGCCCACTGTGGTTACCATTTTATTCGCAGAGCTCAGAGCTGCCCTGTCTCCACTTCCCAGCACCGGGACTACAGGTACACGCTGCCACATTCCTCTTTATTTGGCTACCAGGGGGTCATGTTCCCACTTGACCCCGTCAATCTAGGTTTTGACAAGTTTGAAGTATGTAACTATTTCGCAAGCAAATGACAGAGCTTTTCTATACATACTTCTCTGCATTCATGCTATGCCTAACTTTTTCTTAGGTTTTTAGATACCTAGGCTACCCAGTTCATCCACTACCTTTTCAAATCACTGTAAATCTTGAAACCACCCAAACATTGTGTGCAACTAGGTCTTTACAACTTACACTGTTGTTGGACATGGTGGTGGGAGACCAAGGCAGGACTGAGTGTCCTGTGCCACAGAATCATAGTTTTGTTTTCCCTACTGCCATGTGAAAGCTCTTAGGTTGCCTCACCCGTGACCCACTATTCCCTATCACACAGCCCTTCTGGACAGCCCTCATTTGCTACTTTTGCCTTGTCTTAACCCTCTGTAGACTGTTGAAAGTTTAACAGTCCAAGTTTTCTAAGTATTTAAAATAAAGAAATCAAGAAAGCAAGGGAGCGAGCAAGCAAGCAGGGTGTGGCAGTGCTGATCTCTGTGAGATGGAGGCCAGCAAGGTTTACTTATGAAGTACCAGGCTGGCTGGGGCTACAGGGAGATCCTGTCTCAGCCATTAAGAACACTGGCTGATCTTGCAGAAGACCCAGGTTTGAACCCCAGCACCCACATGGCAGCTGTCTGTAACTCTAGTTCCAGGAGATCTGACAGCGTTTTCTGTCCTCCGTGGGCATTGCGTGACACGGATGCACTTACCTACATGCAGGTAGTACACGGGCACTTGCATACACACATACACACGCAACCCAACAAAAACAAAAGACGCACCTTGCTTTATTCAAACGAACTCGGCTGCTTTACTTCACAGTGATTACCAAATCCATGTTTCCTCAAAGTGAAGGGTCCCGCAGTGTAGTCCTGGCTGGACTGGAATTCACTATGTAGACAAGGCTGGGCTCAAACTCAAGAGATTCCCCCTGCTGGGATCAGTGCCACATATGCTGGGCTTATTCTGTAGTTGAAGTTATCCTGGAAAATTTGCTTTGTAGCCTTGGGGATCCATCTGCTTTAACTTCCCAAGGGTTGAGATCACAGGTATGAGCCACCACAGCCACCAGCTTTGTTATGATAAATGTGTACAACTATATTTGTGGCTAGGCAACACAACACAGAAAGGTGCACACCACCCCCCACCCCCCATTTCCCCCACCTCCCATCACTTCTTGACCTTCATTCCTTCCTGGGAATGTGCTAGGCTCCCTCCATACCCAGGAGACTCCTCTGTGCCCTCTGCCTGAACTAGTCTTTTTGCTGGCGAGTTTGCTTCCCCTGCTTTTACGTTTCAGTTACACATCGTATTTTCTCTTCTGGCACTCTGAAGTACTTGGTAAAAAATGATAAATCTTATGTCTTAGAAAGGGCATACTTCTTTTGTAGTACCGAGACAAGAAAAGTGAGTGGCAATGTTCTTAAATTTAGAAATTTATTTTATTTAATCCACAAGCTTTGTATAGCTTTAGTTTAAAAAAAAAATAAAAATAAAAACAGTGAAACCAAGACACTATTTCAAAGTCCAGGCCCTTTCAGCCTTCCAAATGCAAGAGCTCTTAAAGTTGTGTATACCAATTGGAAGATTAAGAAAAAAACAAGAATGGGAGTCGTGACAGTTCATAGAACAAAGTTTTATATAACTGAAGGATCCTTCCTGGAACTGGTTAATTGCCTTTACAAAAGAGGAAGAAAAAAAGATGGGGAAAGGAAGAAAAAAACCCAAACAGAATAGGACAAAATTCCAGTGTTCCAAATCAACTTAGCTGTCACATTCAATATAAACCCCCAGTGTCCTGGCAAACAGCATGCTGCCACTGTTCTGTCTCTCTACAGAACTTGAATCCTGATTTTTAGCAGACTCCACAGGCAACAGGAAAGCTTGCGGCATTAAAATAGTCATTTACACTGTGGAACTTCCAGCAGTGGTCTCACTTCTGGGCACGCTTACAAACCATACAAGGTTGGAAGCATAATTTACACGGGTGTAAGACTCAAGTAAGAGAAAGTAAAAGGAAAAAGAGAGAAAATCTCTGGAAATAGGCAAGGGCATTTAAAGGAATTGTAAGAATGCCAACGATATTTAAACCCCCTTTTTTAAAAAAGAGATTTTTTTGGCTTAAAAGATTTCACTCTAAATGAATTAATGTCAGCTGTCAATGGAAGAATGTCACTAATACACTGTGGACACCTTTTGCAATGTAAATCCATGCCCCCTTTTTTTAAACATGGTGAACTTCAACCTAGCAATTATTACAACAAATGTTATAGTCTAAAGCTCAAACACATTTTAGCAATTTTGAAATTGAATTGAGTACAAACCAAATAAAATTTACATCATAACAAACATCTCCACCTAAGACTGTGGGGACACTTGAGCCTTCCGCATGGATCGCAGGGCCTTTTCCCGCAGGTGCTTTTCTAAGTCATCAAGGTTGTCTTCAGCTTCACTTTCAGTCTCCTGAAAAAGCAATCAGAGGCGACATGTATTAAGCCTTGAGACAGTGGGCAATGCTGAGTCTGACAGCAGAGTCCAAGTAGCACTGGCTCTACACCCGGACATTAAAGTCAGTGAAGATACTTTTTAATTATTCTATCAAACCCAGGGCCTTAGGCAAGCTCAGCAAGCAACTCAACCAAGGAATCACAGCCTCAGCCTGAAAACTTTTTTGTCTTTTGAGATACGTCTCCTGGTAGCCCCAGTTGGCAGCTGGCCTGGAACTTACTATGCAGATGAGGTTGGCCTTGAACTCAGACATCCACCTGCCTCCCTTGCCTCCTGAGTGCTGGGATTAAAGGTGTGTACCACCATGCCCAGCCTTATTTCCTTTTTTTTGGAGACAGCATGAGGTGGTTTGAGTAAGAATGTCCCTCATAGGCTCCAAGTATTTGGACATTTTATCCACAGTTGGTGGCGCTGTTTTGGGAGTCCCTTGTGGGACTTCTAGTAGCTCTGCTTCCTGTGTCTGCTTAAAGATGAACTCAACTTTCTGCTCCTGCTCCAGCTACCTAGCCACCCTGCCATGATGGTTTCTAATCCCTCTGCAATCTGGAACTGTAAGCTCAAATAAACTCTTCTTTAAGTTCCTTGGTCAGGGTGTTTTATCACAGCAACAGAAAAGTAACTAATACAGCGTCTTACCAAATAGCTAGCCTCCAACACACAGCAATCCTCCTGCTTCCACTTCTCAAATTCTGGGATTCTAGACATGCGTCCCCAACCCTAGCTTGTAAAATGTACTCCTAAGAGAAGTTATTTGAATGTGGGCCTGGGGAGATGGTTCAACAGGTGCTTGCCATGCTAGCAGGAGGGTTGAGTTCAAATTCCCAGGTGGTAGTGCACCTGCAAGCCCAGTGCTGGGAAGCTGATCTAGCTGTTTAGCCAAAATAGCTCCAGATTCAGTGTCAAGATTGTCCAAAAATATAAGAAGGGGCAGGAAAGATGGCTCAGCAGATAAAGACACTTGCCACAAAGCCTGATATGCTCAATCCTCAGAAACCCAAATTGTGGAAGAGAAATCGACTCCAAGTCATCCTTTGACATCCACACACAAATATCCAAATGTAATTTTAAAAAAACATACCAAGCTGGGCGTGGTGGCACACGCCTTCAATCCCAGCACTCAGGAGGCAGAGGCAGTCGGATTTCTGTGAGTTCCAAGGCCAGCCTGGTCTACATAGTGAGTTCCAGGACAGCTTGGGCTACAGGGAGACCCTGTCTCAAAAAGACAAAAAAAAAAAAAAAAAGAACATACCTATGGATTCCATACTTGTATATAGCAGGCAGGCAGACAGACAGACAGACACACACACACACGTCAGAAAGTGTGGATCAGTGGAAGAGTACATGCCTAATGCACAAGCCCTATGTTCTAGTCCCAGCACTGCTCCTGAAAAAAAAATTTTTGAGACAGGATCTCATTGTATAGCTCTGGCTGGTCAGAAACTTGCTATGTAGGTCAGGCTAGCCTTGAATTCACAAAGATCTGCCTGAGTGCTTGGATTAAAGTATAACTACTTAAAATCAAATGATTTCAGTATGTACAGGTGGATGGCCAGGCAGAGAGGGAACTGTATGAATACCTTCCTGGGCTCTGGTGCTGCCTCAGGCTCTTCCTGTGCTGATGTGGTTGTGGCAGCAGAAACAGCTGCAGGAGTGACAGGAGCTGTGGCAGCTACAGCCACGGTCTTCTCCTTCTTGTGTTTTTTGTGCTTCTTGTGTTTCTTATCCTTTTTGTGTTTCTTGTCCTTCTTTTTCTTCTTTTTCTTCCCACCTCCTTCTTGATCCGAATTCTAGAAATCCAGAGACAGCAGTAAGATAATCAAGTTAAAAATCTGCCCGAGTTTATCTCCTGAAGGAGTACCTAAGCAGACAAATCTCTGGATTTCAAAGACAGCTGCTACCAAGGCCAGCGTACCCAAATGTGAAATTCACTGCCTGCAAAGGTTCACTCCATAGTCTAAAGAGTTGGAAAAAGCCAGAATGCTGGCTGACTTGCATACGTTCCCCCACCAACTTCACATTAAGGCAGATTTCCAGTTCCAGAATTTGAGAGTCATGGGCTTTTAAACTTACAGGAGTTGACTTCCAGGTCCTGAACTCAAGCATTAAATGAGAGACAATTATAAAATCACTCAAAATACTTGGTTAAGATAGCATGATTTTAATATGTGGAACCTAGTTACTAGTCTGAAAAAATGCTGGGATACATTCCCCTATCTCAGCACCACTTGCCCTCACCTGTTTTTAAAACAGGAGTGGTCTGTTTCACTCTACTGAATATAGGTGCTCTGTTTACAACGGGGCTGCATCTTTATAAAATCTCATAACCTCAATCTAGGTAAAATAACCTTCCAATCTACTGAATACATATGACCTAGTGGACCCTGCCTTCAGCAAATTCACAATGGTGACACTGGCTTACAGCTATGCAAAATCAACTAATACAAAGCTGATCCAATAATAACTCATAAGAGATCCACCCGCCTCTGCCTCTGAGTGCTGGGATTAAAGTGTACACTACCACACATAGCCAGGATTTGCTATGGAGACCAGGTTGGCAAAGATCTGCCTGCTTCTGTCTCCTGAGTGCTGGGATTAAAGATGTGCACTACCATGCCCAGCTCAAAATTTTTAAAAAAAACTTATGTCCTGATTGGTTTTTATGAGGCACAGCCTCATGTAACCAAGGATAACCTTGAACTCCTGGTCCTTCTGCCACCTCCTGAGCGCTGAAATCACAGGTGAATGCCATTACATTGAGGTGAGTTTCATATTTCTAATGGATTAAAATTCATAATACTTCACTTAGTTAGCTCAGTTTGGCAGCCTCTGATGTAAGCACCAATTTTATGACAAAGAAGCTTGTCCAGCATTGGATTTCCAACCCACAAGAGTTTAAATCCTAGTAACATCACACTCCAAGGACATTTTCTCCACCCAGTGACCATGCACAAATTGGCTAGTTAACTAAGTTAGTGGCTCTAAGTCACAGAGTTTTCTTTTTTTGTCTTTTGAAACAGGGTCTCTTTGTAGCCCCAGCTGGCCTTGAACTCACAAGAGATCCACTTGCCTCTGCCTCCCAAGTGCTGAGACAACAGGCACGTGCCACCACACCTGGCTTAGATTTTTCTTTTTGCAACAACATTCAGATGAAAAAGCAAATAATGTAAGAATGTTTTGAGAATTTTGCACTCAGGTACTATATTTACCTTCCACCCCTCCCATTCCCCACTCCAACTCCTCCCATGTGCCCCTATCCACTCCCTTTCAATTTATCCTCTTCTTTATTATTGTTACATTTATAGATATATTCATATGTAATACACTGAGTCCACTTAATGGTGTTCACGTGTACATGCATTTAGGGTCGACAATTTGGGATTAGATAAGCTATCAGGGAGCTTGTCCCTGGGAAAACTAATTTTCCCTCCCTCAGGAGCCATGAACTTACTGGCAGCACTTGTAGAGGTGGGACTGTGTCACTTTCCCCAACCACATTGTCATGTTGACTGGTTTTGTCATTAGCAGGCCTTAAAAAAGATTCGAGTTCTTTTGATTTTATGTGCATGAGTGTTATGCCTGCATGTTAGTGCATCCATGTTGTGTATTGTCCTTGGAGGACAGAAGAGGGTGCTGGATCCCCTGGAACTGGATTTATAGATGGTTGTTAGCTGCCACGTGGGTGCTGGGACTTGAACCCAGGTCTTCCGAAAGAATAGCCAATGTTCTTAACCAATAAGCCATCTCTAGAGGCCCATTATGCAGGTCTTGTTAGGCATCCATAATGTGGATTGCAGATTTTGTGGGTATAGCTTCTTATGTCTAGAATATATGCAGCAGGCATTTACTGGCTTTTTGGAGAAAAGATATTGTTATGTGGCCCAGGATGGCCTGGAATTCATAGCTACCCTCCTGCCTTAGCTACCTAAGTGCTGGGATTACAAGCATGAGCCACCATGTCCAGCTGACTAACTTACAACACAGGGCAGACACATACCCTGGCAGGGGATGGGCTTGGTGTTGGGCTTTTAGCCTTCTTGACTGGTACTGCAGGTGACCAGTTTGTGGAGGGTGACTGAGACTGGACAGGAGATGGAGGTGCTGGAGGCTTTTTAGCAGCTGGCTCAGGAGATCCGGAGACAGAACGGGAGGATGAAACCCTTCTTATAGACTGAGGACTTGGTGAGGCAGCCCTAGACACAGAAAAAATAAAAAACCAAAAAAACACTTAGCATTGAGAACAGACCCCAAAGTAGGCCACAGCTTCAAACATTTACAGCACCAAAGTTTCCTACAGGGTCCTTCATGCCCCACATCCTCTACCATTTTGCTGACAATGCATGCTGTATGATTTTGGCAGTATCAGTTCTTTAAGACCACCTTTTACCAGTCACAAGTGCATAGTAAGAGATGCTCTACCTTTCAGTTTAGATTCAGCACACCTCTCAAAATATCTGATGCTAAAAACCACAATAACCCTCTGTTATTTATGCCACAAGGAATTATCCTGAAATGCAAAAGCATGTGTTAACAGTACCACAAAGCTGCAATAATCTGTCCTGTCAGCTTACTTCCTCCTGCAACTTTCCAATGGAGGAGAGAAGAGTTACACAACTAAGTATTCCTAACTAAAAAGCATCAAAAATTTTTACTTTTTTATCTTTTTAGGCTCCGGAGTCCTGGAGACTCTCCTAATAGGCCTAGTACTTGGAGATGGGGACTGCCTTCTTTGGGGTGATGCAGATGCTCCTCTTCGAACAGGGGGAGGACTTGAGGTCTGAGGAGCTCGAGGCCGTGGTGAGGGAGAATGCCGTTTGTTTGGTTGTGGTGACCGGGTGTCCCGGGCAGAGCGGCTTGGGGAAGACCCTTTCCTATGCTTTGAAGATAAGGAGGGTGAGCGTCTCTTGGCGACTGGGGGGCTTCTTTGTTTGGGAGGTGGAGAATGGGAGACCCGGCGCTTTGGTGGAGGCGATGGCGAGGCCCTTCGCTTGGGCGGGGGTGGGGGCGAGGCTGTTCTTCTCTTTGGAGGTGGAGAAGGAGAGTATCTTCTCTGGATGGGAGGAGAGTATCTTCTTGGGGAAGGTGAGCGCCGGCGTGGGGGAGGGGAAGGAGTCCTAGGAAAAACACATCAGTCAGATCAATGACCCAACAGAATCAGGGAATTAAACTGTTTTAAAATTTTATTATTTTTGAGTGTTTGTGTAGGAGCGAGCAAACAGCAGCATACATGTGGAGGTCAGAGGACAACTTTGTGACTTTGTGCACTGAATTATCTCATGTAGGTTCTGGGGATCAAATTTAGGTCATCAGGCTTATGTGGCAAGTACTTTTACCTACTGGGCCACCTTGTCAACTCAGAATCAGGAAACCAAAAAAAAGTAACCAACAGTTATGGCTATCATGTAGTAAGCCTGAGGCAAAGGGGTTTATTTATTTTTATTTTATGTGTATGCATGTGTTGCCTACATGTAGGTAAGTGCACCCGTGTCATGCAACGCCCGTGCAGGTCAGAAGAGGCTGACGGATCCCCTGGGACTGGAGTTATGGACAGTTAGCTGCCATGTGGGTGCTGGGATCGAACCCAGGTCTTCTGCAAGAACAGCCAGTGTTCTTAGCTGCTGAGCTATCTCTCCAGCCCATAGGGGTTTATTTTTAAGTGAACAGCTATATTTGTACCTGTAGCCCCAGCTGGCCTGGAACTCACTATGTAGACCAGGCTGGTCTTAACTCAGAGAGATCTGCTTGCCTTTGCCTCCCAAGTGCTGAATTGCAAGCATGCACCACCATTGGGTGAACAGCTATATTCTTTATTCTCATTTAAAAAAATCATTAATTAGCTGGGCATGGTGGCACATGCCTTTAATCCCAGCACTCGGGAGGCAGAGGCAGGCTGATTTCTGTGAGTTGGAGGCCAGCCTGGTCTACATAGTGAGTTCCAGGCCACTTGGGACTACAGGGAGACCCTGTCTCAAAAAAGACCAAAAACCTCAAAAATCATTAATTAAAATTTATCTCAGGTGACTACAACAAAAGCCACTTTTTGGGGGGTTTCCAGCCTCCCGCCCCTTTCCTTTTGAAGACAGTCTTACTGTGTAGCTTCGGCTGGTCTGGAACTTGCTATGTAGACCAGGCTAGCCTCTAACTCAGAGACTGCCTGCCTCTACCTTCCCCAGTGCTAGGATTGAATGTGTGTGCCACCATACCTAGCCTTGTTTGGTTTTAAAAAGAGAAATTTTCAATTTTCAGAAAAGATTTTAGATTTGTCAACTAATGGACTGGAGAGATGGTTCAGCAGTTAAGAGCACTGGCTGCTCTTGCAGAAGACCTGGGTTTGAGTCCCAGCACCCCCACATGGTGGCTAACAACTATCTATAACTCCAGTTCCAGGGATCTAATGCCCTCTTCTGATCCCTGTGAGCACTGAAAGACATGGGTGTACCTTACCTAGAAGTAATACACTTAATGGCCAAACAAAGAAATCCGTTCTAGAGGTCTATGTGCTGTCTTCTCGGAACTAACGTTGGAGCTCACTAAACAAGCTTTCAAAATTCAGAGACTGTCTAGTTTTCTGTCTCAGAAATAAAAGTCCATTGCTGGTATCTCTTGAAAGCCCAACCTGGCCTTTTTTTCTTTCCTTTTTTTTTTTTGGTCTTTTTGAAAGTGTCTCCCTGTAGCCCCAGCTGGCCTAGAATTGCTATGTAGAGCAGTCTGGCCTTGAACTCTGATCAAAGATCTGCTGCCTCTGCCTCCTGAGTGTGGAAATTAAAGGCATGGGCTCAAGAGTGAATTTCTATAAAGTCCTGACTTATCTCTTAGGAATTAAGGTTTGAAAACAAAATTTAAACCCAACTGTGAGTGACCTGCTCTTGGATTTTCCAGAGTTTGAGCTCAACAGAGATCCATGTTCAGAGGTGGGTTTATAACAGGCCAATTTTCAGCCACAAGGGACAGAATGAAGCTGAGTAATTATTTAATAACTCTGGCTTTGCACAGTGGCCTGAACCTATCTTCCCAGCACTTGTAAGGTAGGAGGCCTAAGATCACAAGTCTGAGGTTGGGTACATACAATGAGCTTATCTTAAGAAATAAAGAATTAACCTGGAAACTTCATGTACTCACCTAAACACAGCACTACCACTCACTAGGTAAACAAGTCATTTTGAGGATTAGAGGTAAAGGACTGCAAGATGGCTTATTGGGTTAAGTCATTTGCCACCAAGCCTTGACAACCTGAGTTTGATCCCTGGGACCCACAGCCACAGGGTCAGGAGTCAAGTTGTCTGCTGACTTCCATATGCATGTGGGCCTAAAGCCGCCCCCCCGCCCCCAATTGCTAATTCAGCAGTGCTCTGCTAATGTCGAGTCTTTCCTATTCCAGAATCCTAGTACTTAGGTTCCTCTTACCCTGGTCTTCAGTCTCTTCAGTCTAAGTATTTGTATTTATTTTACATAGATGAGTGTACTGACTGCATATAAGTGCACCCATGTCAGGTAATGCCTGCAGAGGTCAGAAGAGGGTGTCGGATCCCCTGGAACTGGAGTTATGGACAGCTGTTAGCTGCCATGTAGGTGCTGGGAATCGAACCGGGGTCCTCTGCAAGAGCATAACTGTTGAGCCATCTCTCTAGCCTGACCGTCTGGACTGATTTGACTTTTTTGAGGGAGTGGTGTTCCTTTGAGATGGTCTAGTATGCTCTTTCTCTGTTAATATAGTCCCACCTGACCTAGAACTTACTATATAGACCAGGCTGGCTTCAAACTTGCTGACCCTCTTGCCTCAGTCTCCCATGAACTGGGATTACAAGTATATGCCAAAACATTCAGCCTCGACATTTCTGAAGAGTACTGGTCACTTATTTGATCCCTGATATGGTCTAACAAACACCCCTAATAGAGTGAGGTTCTGCACAATTGCTAAACTATTGAGGTATCCAGAAAGCATAATAATATATTAGTGGAGATATTAACCTGATTACCTAAAAAGGTAATTAATTACCTCAATGGATTTTCCTATTGCCAAATTAACACTTGTCTGTACTCACTAAATAGGTTACCTTCCATTTAACACCAATGATCTGTGAGGAAAATGCACATTCAGTGGTTTCAGAATATTCACGCTGCTGTGCAACCATTCCTCAACTCCCACCTCAGCCAGACATACCAATGTATTTTCTTTCCTCATTTATTTTTTGGGCTGTCTTGCCATTCTATAACCCAGGCTGTCCTCCAACTCAAACCACCCCCCAGCTGAAATTCCAGACCCAAGTCATACCCACTTTTTAATTTCTACAGATTTGTGTATTCTGGGTTTTTTATGAGTGGACTCATATAATATGCAGTCTTTTATGAATGGCTAAACAATGATGCTATAAAAAGCAATTTCCACAATAAAGATCCAGTAACTCCATGACCATCTGACAGAGCACTACCTTCGTCGTGGTGGTGGGGTTGGAGATCTGCGTCGCCGAGGAGGAGGAGGTGGCGGTGGTGGGGGTGGCGCTGGAGAGGGAGACCGTCGCCTTCTGGCAGGTGGTGGGGAGGGACTTCTCCTCCTTCTACCACTAAAGCAAAGAATTGGGAGTTAATTTGGAATTAGTGACATTCCTAATTAAGCACTCCACAAAATGTATTTTCAGTCATTAAGCCAGGGGGCACTGTATTTCATACTACAGCCCCTCCCCCGCAAATCAATGCTTCACTTTCGGTATGGGTACTTAAATCCTACTTTGTGAAGCTAATTTCTACATATAAACATGTACTTTGGTCATGACAAAACATTCCTATATTGTTTTACTTTTTGGTCTTTTTGAGACAGGTGCCCCGGCTGGTCTGGCACTATCTAGACAAGGTTGGCCTTGACTTCAGAGATCTGCCTGCTGGAGTGTTGGGACTAAAGGCACGCACCACCACACCTGATATATTCCTATATTCTTAACTTGACACAGGAAGAGAAAATATGCAAAAAACTAGCACTTTAACACTCCTTTTATTGGTTGGGATGCACATCAGAATTAAGTGGAAGACTTATCCGAGACTCATGTGGACCATGTCTGGGTTGTGTCTTGAAGAGACTCTTCAGGTGATTTTGATTCTTTTTAAAATTATTTTTATTTTATGTGCATGCGTGTATTGCCTGCATGTAGGTAAGTGCACCCATGTTGTATGTACAATGCCTGCAGAGGTCAAGAAGAGGCTATAGGATTCCCTGGGACTGGAGTTAGAGATAGTTGTTAGCTGCCATGTGGGTGCTAGGATTCGAACCTGGGTCTTCTGCAAGAACAGCCAGTGTTCTTAACCATTGAGCCATCTCTCCAGCCACAATTTTGATTCTTTTACTCTATCATTATTGTATGTGTCTAAGGTTTTACACCTTCATGTATTTATGTGCACTATGTGCTGTAGTGTCTACAGAGGTCAGAGGAGGGCAATGGATCTCCTACAACTAGACTTACAGAGTTGTGAACTGTGACACAGTTGCTGGGGACCAAACTTGGGTCCTCTGCAAGAACAGTAAGTGTTCTTAAACACTGAGCTATCTCTTCAGCCACAGCTCTGATTTTCATTTTTTATAGAGAAACTTAAGATGTTAATATAGTCACCAGTGGCCTAAGGCCCAAATCTGAGGGACCAGGTGTCACTGCTCAAGTTGGACCCCTCCCTCCCTACTGTACTAGTTCTAGAACCTAGAGTTGCATACTCTAGGCAAGCGCTCGATCTTTGAGCTATGATTCCAGCACTTCTGCTCTTAGTTTTAAAAATATACCTCCACTGTAGAGTTGCACATCACACCTAAAAACAATATAGACAAATGAGCAAAGTTGTTTGAGCACTAAAGCCACCATGGTTAAAATACACTTCTATGGAGCTGTCACAGACTTAACAAACCTAAGTACTATACATTAACTAACATTCCAACAGATGTATGTAAGTTTACAACAGATGTACTTAAATATAGGCCAAGCCAGGGGGCTGCCAACTTCAAGGACAATTTATATATACTAATAGAAAGTAGTCAATGTAAGTAGTTCTTAATTTCTTATCTAGGACAGCATTGGTGTTTTCTTTATTTTTATGTTTTGCCTCCATGTATGTAAGTGCATCCGTGTCATGCAATGCCCACAGAAGCCCCTGGAACTAGTGATACAGATGGCAATTAATCCCCACGTGGGTGCTGTGAACTGAACCTGGGTCTTCTGGAAGAGCTCTTAATTACCAAGCCATTTTTCCAGTCCCCTACTTTTAGCATTTTAAAATTTTGCCTTAACGCCAGGTGTGGTGGTGCACGCCTTTAATCCCAGCACTCGGATGGCAGAGGCAGGTGGATCTCTGTGAGTTCAAGGCCAGCCTGATCTACATAGTAAGTTCTAGGCCAGCTGGGGATACAGGGAGGCCCTATCTCAAAAAGACCAAAAAAAAAAAAAAAATTTTTTTTTGCCTTAGTTTTTCTTGCTTTCTCTAAAATCACCATAAATACAATGTACACCCCTGTTAAATCTAAGGAGGTCTAATTACCGTCTTAGAAAATGAACACTTCATACTGTAATGAAATGCTTCTTCTAATCATGCGGTTATTATTAAAAAAAAAAAAAAGAAGCCGGGTGTGGTGGCGCATGCCTGTAGTCCCAGAACTTGGGAGGCAGAGGCAGGTGGATCTCTGAGAGTTCAAGGTCAGCCTGGTCTACATAGTGAGTTCCAGGCCAGCTGGTGCTACAGGGAGACCTTTGTCTCAAAAAGACACCCCCCCCCAAAAAACAAAACAAGAAAATGATCACTTCCTTCATAGTCCTTCACACCATTAATCTGTCATGCTTAAAAACAACACACTCCCCCAACCCCAAAGCACCTAAGAATTTTTTCATTGACAGATTACAATCTATCTGTAAAATGGGGATATGGTCTCCTGAACAGAAAATTAAGTAAATTTGGTATGTAACCCTAATTTACAAAACAGCAACAAACCAACCTTTTAGTCACAGGCGACTGCCATCGTTTTCCCATCTGCATCCTGACAGCAGTGAAGAAAAACAAATGTCAAAATCCCATTCACTGAACTTTTTTTTTTTTGGTCTTTTTGAGACAGGGTCTCCCTGTAGCCCCAGCTGTCCTGGAACTCACAGAGTCACTGAATTCTTTACTTTCACAAAGTTAAATCCTACTTACGGAGATGTTTTTTAAAACTTTAAAATTGTCTGGAATTAACGCTGATTTAAAAAGCTTATTCTAATCATGCACACATGACACAGTGGCTCAAAACTTATCTATTTTCATTAAATATTAGTAACTACTAACCAAGAAAACAAAACAAAACCCCCAAACAACAGAAATCTAAAACCTAACAATCTCCTTGAAGTCCCTGAAATAAAGAATTAGTTCAATTCTAAAATAATTCTGTAGCCCACCCTGCATGTTATGAAGTTTCAACCCAACCACTGATCACTGAAACCAGTACTGAAGGTTGTTACCGAGGGGAAGTCTCTTTTTGGCGCTTCCGTGGTGATGGAGAAGCACTCCGTGAAGGTGAATGTCTTCGCCGCCTGCCCACCTCACCATTTTTCACATGGGATCTCTTGGGTCGCTCATCTTCTGAGGTGGAAGAGGAGCCAGAATCTGTAATCAGAGAGCAGCAAAAACAAAAACAAAACAAAACAAAAACCAAAAAAAGAAACACACACAAATTATACCAGGTCTGTGTTTAAAATAGTCTTTGTGTTCAAGCTTTCTGAATTTAATATTAACAAGCATGTATTAAAAGACCTTAAGTTTTTTGACAGTCAGGATCATATGCTCAATGACTTCAAAACCAGGCTTAAACAAGCATCCATCATTTTAAGAGCAAGAAAGACTGAGTTGGGCATGGTGGCACACATCTTTAAGCCCCAATAATTAAGAGGCAGAGGCAGGCAGATCTTTGAGTTCAAGGCCAGCCTAGTTTATATAGCTAGTTTTAGGTCAGCCAGACTACACAACTGAGACCCTGATTCAAAAAAACCAAAACCAAAACAATGAAAGAAGAGACAGACTAATGCTAAGGATATAGCTCAGTGCTAGAGTACCTACCTGCCTAGTATATTCAAGGTCCTGGGCTCTATTCCAGCACTAGAAAAGTTTTATGAATGGAGGATACAGCTCAGTGGTATAGCATTTGCCTAGTATGCATACAGCCAGAGGTTCAACTCTCAGCATCATAAACAGAAAAATAATTTCCACTGTATAATCCAATCACCAATTTTGGTGGTAGCCAAACCCAACCCTGACCCCAACATAATATCCCAAGTACTGAGAGGCCTGTATGGCTCTCTTAGTCTAAGCATCATAGCCAAGTTCAATTCCAGCCTGTATACATGAGACTTTGTCTCAAAAAGAAAAATATAGGGGCTGGAGAGGATGGCTCAGCGGCTAAGAGCACTCACTGGCTGTTCTTGCAGGAGAACTGGGATCCATTCCCTGCACCCACAACATGGCTTACAATCATCTGTAACTCTAGTTCTAGGGGAATCCAAAGCCTTCTGACCTCCATGGGCACAACACACAGGTGCACTTATATACATGCAGGCAATACACTCATACACATAAAAATAGTAAATAAAATATAATATGTAGTGATTTTCCAAACAAAGTTTCAAAGGTTTGTGGTGTAGCTCACTAGTAGACCACATGTTATGCAGGCCCAGGCCCTGGATTCCACAGCCAGCAGCAAGAGAACAGTATCTCAGGTTGGGCATTGTGGCACACAACTTTAATTCCAGCATTAGGGAGGCAGAGGCAGGTGAATCTCTGAGAGTTCAAGGCCAGACTGGTCCACGTAGCTGAGTTCCAAGACAGCTAGTAGCTGGGGCTTCAGGGAAGACCCTATCTCAAAAAGACCAAGAAGAAAAAAGAGAGAAAAGTATTTCCTGAAAGAGAAAATAATAGCCACCCTGGAACTCACTACATGAGACCCTGCCTCAAAACCAAAACTAAAAAACCATAATAAAACAGAAGTACACAGGTAAGAACCAGGCATCTGGTTTACAAATCAAGTTTCTCCGTGCACTATTCAATCCAGTAATTACAACTCTTTTTTGACAGATGTATTTGCCTACTATTTAAAATACTATAAGTAGCCTTAATGTTCACCAAACTAGAAATGACTCAATAAATCTCTCTCTCTCTCTCTCTCTCTCTCTCTCTCTCTCTCTCTCTCACACACACACACACACACACACCCCAGTTAAGAGTACTTATTGCTCTTACAAAGGACACAGGTTTGGGCCCAGCACCCACATGGAGGCTCACAACCAGTCGTAACCCAGTTCTGGGGGAATTCAATGCCCTCTTTTGATTTCTGAAGGCACTACATCCATGTAGTGTGCATATATACATGCAGGCAAACACTCATACACAGAAAATAAAAATAAGTAAGCCTTAAAAAGAAGAACAAGCCGGGCATGGTGGTGCACGCCTTTAATCCCAGCACTTGGGAGGCAGAGGCAGGGGGATCTCTGTGAGTTCAAGGCCAGCCTGGTCTACATAATGACTTCTAGGACAGCTGGGGCTACAGGGAGACCCTATCTCAAAAAGACCAGAAAAAAAAAGAAAAGAAAAGAAAAGAAAAAAGAACAACGAAAGGTGTTCTAAACCATCAGACACCTACATATGTGCAAGAATTTTCTTAATAAAAACTTTAGAGGGGAAGACCAGGATGCTAGGAAATGAACTGCAGTTTTCCAATTTTATACCTACACTGTTTTCATTGTCTTAGAACTGAGACAGACACAGATATACAGTAACCACTAAGTTATAGACTTACTGCCCAAGACAGTCTATGTAGGTGAATGTTCTACCCTTTTTTCAGAGGCAGGATCTCAAACTACAGAGTCTCTGACTAGACCATGACCTCTTGACCCTCCTGCCTCTAGCTACTAAATGCTAGGATTACAGAATTCTCAGCTTTTTGTTTGAGACAGAGTCTCACTACGTAGCCCTTGCTGGCCTCAACCTTCCAAGTGCTAAGGTACCTTATGAAGTTTTTGTTTTTTGGTCTTTTTGTGACAGGGTCTCCCTGTAGCCCCAGCAGGCCTGGAACTCACTATGTAGACCAGGCTGGCCTTGAACTCAGAGATCCACCTGCCTCTGCCTCCTAAGTGCTGAGATTAAAGGCATGTGCCACCACACCCAGCTTTATGTATTAATTTTTTAAAAATAATAGAAGAACAGGTAGAAAGCATCTATCAGTGCCCATACCAGTTGAAGACTGCTGGTTCTGTCGTCTGTACTGGCGTCTCTGCTGCACAGAATCAGCCGCAGCCATTTTGCCGCCCTTGTCTTCTTCTGAAAGATGGATGCATTTACAAAGTATTTCTTTAGTTATATACAGGCAATGTGACACAGCTAAGAACATAGCCTCTGAAACTTTTATCTGGTCAGGTCAAGTGATACCAGTGCTAGCTATAAAACTAAAATAAAACCATATACTTATTACAGGTCAGGAGCTATGCACTATGCAAACATTCAGCTAGCTATCAAAATCTAGACTTTATCTCCATAATAGGCTGGTGGGGGGGTGAGGTTCAGGTGAATTAAGGAAAACCAAATAAAGCACAGCTAAATGTTGAAGCTGGGACTCTTGAACAGGCCTGTCTGATGTCAGTCTCAGTTCTTCTCCACTATGCTGTTCTGGGTAATTAATCCCCAACCTGAGGGGAATGAACAGATGGGGGAAGCAGGCGCGGGGGCAAAACTAACCTCTAAAAGAGCAGTACAACCTACCTGATTCAGATAATTCTACTTTTCTAGGCTTCGGTGCTGGTGAAGGTGACTCTCTTTTCTCAGTGCCTTTATGCTTTGTCACTAAAAAATAAGTGAGGGGAAAAAAGAAAAAAACTCACTTATATACAATAAAAAGACAATGTCTTAGTACAAAAATAGATGTGACTATTCATGAAGAATTCACCTAAAATTTTAAACATTTCTGTAAGATCCTGTTACACACTATCTGAAGAATTTTTAAATGTTTGATGAAAGCCACTAAAACTTCTGAAGGGTTGGTGAGACAGCTTAGTGAATAAAAGTGCTTGTCACACAAGATGACCACCTAAGCTTCCATTCTTGAAGCTCATGTATTTAAAAAAAAAAAAAAAAAGCCGGATGTGGTGGCGCACACCTTTAATCCCAGCACTTGGGAGGCAGAGGCAGGCAGATCTCTGTGAATTTGAGGGCAGTCTGGTCTACAGAGTGAGTTCCAGGACAGCTGGGGGGCTACAAGGAGACCCTGTCTCAAATGAATAAAAAAAAAAAAAAAAAAGTAAATAGGCTAGGATGTTGCTTGGGGCACATAAGATGCCCAGTTTGATACCAAAGATCAGGAGATAAGGAAAAAAAAAATACAGAGGGTATTCCGTCCTTGAAGCCCCCTCCCATTCTCAGGAACTCTTTTCTCAATAAATTTACATTTGCTCTGCTTTAAGAAGAGAGAAAACTCACATAGGAGGTATGCTGTCTAGCAACTGGCTGCCTACCAGGCTAAAAGGCTCTCTGTGAAGCACAAAATCTTCAGAGTACCAGAGAATTAAACTACTGCTTTAAATGCTAAGACTGAAGGGTTCTTCCTAAAGCATAAGAGAGAAAGAAAAAGGGACTGGGATTGTGTCTCAGTGGGAGACTGTTTGTGTAGCCTAAGACCCTAAGCTTGATGCCCAGTAGAAGAGAGTAGAGAAAGGAAAAAAATAAAAACAGCTCTCTATACCAAAGATAGTTAGGAGATCGACACACCCTAGTGATCTCTAACTGGAAAATTATTGGCAACTACTTTCTGTAAATTTGCTGTTATCAAGCACTATACACTGGGTTTTTTTTTTGTGGAGACAGGTTTTACTCTGTACCTCAGGCAGGCCACAAATTCAGTGATCCTCTTATTACAGCCTCCTGACTACCAGGGTTATGGGCAAAAGCCACCAAACCCAGCTATATATGCTGTTAAGCACTGTTGCTAATATAATTCTGACCATTTTCATGCCCTATTTTACAAGAAATTTCTTCCAAAGCTTAAAATAAAATGACTTTATCAGTCACAAATTAACAGATTAACAAGATTCTATGTTTTAGGGCACCAGCATTGATTTTCAGTAACTATTCTCCCTCTTTCTGCTTATAATAATCATCCACTGCCACAATCAAAATCATAGGTACAATAAACATATGAACATTGCTTTATCATGGATTAAAAACTTCAAACACCATTTGAAAAGGCCCCTCTAAGAAAGAAATCCACAAAATGAGCCCTTTAGGATTCGGACACCTATGAATTACTATGAGATGCCTAATCAGAATGCAGTTACAGTTCATTTAATATTCTATTAAAAGATTCTTGGCTTGAATTCTTAGCCGGGCATGGTGTCATATGTCTTTAAACCCCAGCACTCAGGAGGCAGAGGCAGATAGATCTCTGAGATTGAGGACAGCCTGCCTGGTCTACTTAGCAAGTTCAACCTGGGGCTAAAGAGAGATTCTGTCTCAAAAAAAAAAAAAAAAAAAAAACTTGTCATAGGCTGGGTGTGGTGGCACAGAGGCAGGCAGGTCTCTGAGTTTGAGGTCAGCCAGGGCTACACAGTGACCCTGCCTCACAAAAACAGAAACTAATCCCCTCATGGTCTACAAGGTAGTAACTTCCAGAACTAATGGTCTAACACTGTAATCTCATCTCTGCTAGTCAATTTGGAAATTACTAGTTTGTATGAAATCAAACCTAGGGGTTTACATTCTTAGCCTCTGGAAAAGCACCTTGCAATGGTCGGAATTTTATTAATGATTCTACCTATTAAATTATCTGGAGTGGTGGCTCATGCCTTTACTCCCTCAGAAGGCAGGTGGATCTCTGTGAGAGCTAGTCCAGCATGGTACCTGGTCTACATAGTGAGTTCCAGGCTAGCTGTAACTATAGGGAGCCAGTCTCAGAAAGCCCCAACCCCCCAATCTACATAAACCATTGAATTTTTAAGTAATGGTTAGCACGCAATTATCATAAATTAGGGGAGGGAGTGAGGATAGTGAAAAGTGTTTTAAAAATGGGCATAGTAACAGAGGCTGGAGAGATGGTTCAGTGGTTAAGAGTGCTTGCTGGTATTCCAAAGGACCTGAGTTCAGTTCCCAATGCCCAAGGAGTCTCACAATTACATGGAACTCTAGCTCCAGGGAATCCAACACACCCCTCTATACTCCATAGGCACCTACCCAATGTATTCACTCACACACATGCATACACACAAAGCAACAACCCATATGTCAAAATTACTACCTCAAGAGGACCAAATTTCAGAACTATTTTGGAAGGTTATTTAGGGATTAAGAATGTATCTTTTGGGGCTGGAGAGATGGCTCTGTGGTTAAGAGCACTGACTACTCTCGCAGAGGATCCGGGTTTGATTCCCAGAACCTACATGGCAGCTGCGAACTGTCCTTAACTCCAGTTCCAGGGGAATCCGAAGCCCTCTTCTGACCTCCACGGCATTGCACGACACAGGTGCACTCACATACATGCAGGCAATGCACTCATACACACAAAAATAAAAATAAAAATAAAGATTTCGAGGCCAGCCTGGTCTACATAGAGTTCCAGGTTACAATAATGGTGACAACATGAACAAGATTCAAAAAAAAAAAAAAAAAAAAAAAAAAAAAAAAAAAAAGCATCTTTGTAATACACATTGAAATAATACAAGTATACCATAACATTACTTTTTTTCTTTTTAGTGATACATGGTCTTACTATGTAATCCTGGCTGACCTTGAACTCAGAGATCTGAGTGCTGGGATGGGGCCTGTGCCACCTATCACACTGGGTCAACATTACATTTTTTTTTTTTTGATCTTTTTGAGACAGGGTCTCCCTGTAGCCCCAACTGTCCTGGAACTCACTAAGTAGACCGGGCTGACCTTGAACTCACAGAGATCCACCTGCCTCTGCCTCCCGAGTGCTGGGATTAAAGGCATGCGCCACCACACCTGGCTAACATTACATCTTTTACAGTGGGAATGCACACGTCATCCTGAATTAATCTCTCATTATGGCTTAACTAAAGTGGCCTTTTTTTTTTTTTTTTTTTTCTTTTTTGGTCTTTTTGAGACAGGGTCCTGGAACTCACTATGCAGAATAGGCTGCAGATTCACCTGCCTTGCCTCTGGAGTGCTGGAATTAAAGGTGTGTGCCACCATGCCTGACTCTTAAAATAGCTTTTAATTAATATATTTATACCACATAATTTACTTGATTCTGGATTAAAACTAAGCTAAAGCATTATTATAAGTATTACAAATAACATGTACTTTGGATTTCTGTACTTTTCTAAATGAGATTTATATTATTATTTACTTTATTATGTTCACAGTGTTTAAAGTATTCAAGGGGCAAAGTCATTCTGGTATGAAATCAGAAATCCAAGAACTCTAAAACCAGAATTCTAAATTATTCCAACAGTCCTATTAATTATTAATCTCAGAACTGGCCAAAAGATCACCTATAAAGGTAAGTTACTGTACCCAGAAATAGTAAACTAACCATTTGAGTACCCAGAACACAATTTCTATGTCTTAGTTGATTAAATCAACTTTCAAAACCACTACCACGGTATAGGCCTTGCCAAGACATTTCACTGAATAAAACACTAATTTATGTAGTACCAAAATAATGCCATTTCAACTGTGACAAGCCACTGAGTACAAAAGGCACATGCATTTAATCCCCAAACTCAGGAGGCAGAGGTAGGCAGATCTCTGTGAGACTGAGGCCAGCCTGGTTTCCATAGCAAGTTCCAGGCCAGCTGGGGACACAGGGAGAACCTGTCTCAAAAAGACCCTCCCCCCACTTTTGGGGATGGCTCAGTGGTAAGATCACCTGGTTGCTCTTCCAGAGGACCTGGGTTTGGTTCCCAGCACCCACAGTAGCTAACAACCTAGTTCCAGGAAATCCAATGCCCTATTCCAGCTTGTGAGGGATTTGCATGTCATGGGGCACTTACACAGAGGCAAAACATTCATACACATAAAACAAAGTTAAAAGGTCACATGCCTTTAATCTCAGCATTCAGGGGGAGACAGAGGTAGCTTGATCTCTGTGAGATCCAGGCCAGTCTGATCTACATAGGAGTTCTGTCTCAAAACAACAGAAAAACCAAAGCAAGAGTTTAAAACTCAAATGAGTTTCAAGCTTCAGGACATAAAACAGACAACTGCTTGGCTAAAGAAACCCTGACCCAGAGCCCACAGGAATACAACCAGTCTTTGTTCTCCACCATAAAGGACTTCTGTATGCAAATATTTACCATATCTTATGTACACAAAGCATGTGTCAAAACAGGAGACTGGCACCTGTGCAGACTCTTAAAAAAAGGTAACTAATATTCTAATAATTACCCTATTTTAACAAGAGCTTACTCTTGTTCAGGTAATTATTTGTAAAATAACTCTTTGGCTGAATGATCTAAATGGAAAAACCATGTTTCCCCATGGTAACAATGGGAACACTTAAGAGCTCTTTTATATTTATATCTTTTTTATGAGGACAAGTGCTTTGCCTGAATATATTTAAGTGCACTCATGTTTACAATGCCTGCAGAGGCCAGAAGACGGTGTCAAGATCCCCTGGAACTAAAGTTTCAGACCAGCCCGGGTCCTTTGAAAAGTATCCAGTGCTTTTAACTATGTCGAAAGACTAAACAATATATTAGAAGTGAAAAATTCACATGAAAAGACAAAATAGGCCAGGGCAATGACATCAGATTTGGACACAGTGACTGGGAACTTCAAAAAGACTGAAATTCCTCCAATTTTATATATTTAAAAAAATGGTATGTTTTAAAAATTGGAATCTTAATGACCACGTCTTATTTTTCACTAAATTAGTCTGATGTTAAAAACACTCCTTTTTATGGATGGTCATCATCAGTTGGTCCTCCTTCTACTGATCATTTATCTATACCCTCATTATAAGAGGTTGAAAAAAAATACAGCTGGACTAGGTGTTGTGGTGGACACTCCCAGCACTCAGGATATCAATGGGATCAGAATAACACTCTTGGGCTGGGCGTGGTAGCACACGCCTTTAATTCCAGCACAAGCCCTGGGTCAGACACCTCTCTAGGCCAAATTCTCCCCCAGCCCTGAGGAACTTGACTGTCAGTCCCCCTGCCTGGGGAGGGGGTGTCCCCACCTTGATATTCAGGAGGCAGAGGAAAGTGGATCTCTGTGAGTTCCAGGCCAGCTGGTCTACATAGCAAGTTCCAAGCTAGCTGGGACTACAGGGAAACCCTGTCTCAAAAAGCCAAAAAAAAAAAAAAAACAACAAAAAACAAAACAAAACAAAAAGACACTCTATAACCCACCACCACTACTCACCTTGCAGGCTGTCTCTATCCCTCCAGCCCTAGCACCAAAGGTACCATTCAAACAGATCCTATAGCTTTTTTCCACGTGTACTTACTTAGTGGTAAAAGAACAAACCCAACAACCTGTGTAAATAGACCACAACCTTCTCCTTGGCTGGCAGGATCAGATAATAAATTCCTCAGAACCACCCTGCAGAGCAGAGCAAGGCCAGCACCCAAGAAGAACCCTGCCTAAACAGCTTTTAAGAGGACACTATGTTCTTCCCTTTGGAAGCATGTGACCAAAAAGAATAAAAATGGAACACATTAAGATATCAAAGAAAAAGTCTTTGGATGGGGACAAAAATAACTAGCCCATCTCAGAGAAATAAATCCTTATCATTAGGACAGAACTATCGATTAGTCCCAGCACTTGGGAAACAGAGGCAGAGGCAGGTGGATCTCTGTGAGACTGAGGTAAGCCTAGTCTATATAGTAAGTTCCAGGCTAGCTAGGGCTACAGGGAGACCCTGTCTCAAAAAGAAAGCAGTATCAATTAGTTGCCCTAACTCAAACAGCCCTTGGCTAACGATCTGTTTCTGTACCTGCTCAGGGCCAGAGAGCATCGATAAAAGCGAACTTCTTTTATCTGCAATTTCCATGTTAAAAAACAAAACAAACCCTAAAAATCGAAAAGGAAAACTTACAGCAAATTCAGAGTATCTAGCACATAAAAATTGCTACACAGCTAATTTTTGAAGGTATATAGGGCCAACAACAGAGTTATCTTCTTAGAAGAAAAAACAAAATGCTTTACCTTTACCTGAAGTTCTCCCTGGAGACACAGAAACTCGACTTTTTCTCGTACGGTTTGATTGTTGGGGGGTTGGGGAATGCCGAGGTTTGGGTGGTGGAGTTGCTGGAGGTGATGGCCTGTGCCTTCGCCTTGGAGGGCTCGCTGAAGGAGACAACCTACGGGTTTTTCGAGGGGGGCTGGATGTCCTCTTAGGAGGCTTCTTTGGTGGTGACCGAGAATGAGACGAAGAGGATGAAGAGCTACTTCCAGACAAGGATGCTGATGAGCGCCTTCTTCTGTGGAATAAAGCATTTGTTTCACTACTGACACACCTAAGAATGGCTTTTCAGTATGCACAGTTTGCACAAAAATACAGCTACTTTTATCCAACTTTTTAGTTTATGTAGCTAAGTACATAAAACACTTCCAAAAAAATGGGAAACAAAACTACAACCTAGGATAAGAAACAGCTAGTTCTGAGACTAAATATAAATAACTTATTCTAATTGTGTTTATCTCTCCAGTTACAAAACTTGTGAAGTTGAATGCTATAATCGTTAACTAATCAACCTCTCCCTTAAGAATGGTGTTGGTGTTTTGGAGTTTGCATACAAACTTTCGGGGTGGGGGGCAGAGTACTGCTCATTCAGTAAGATGTCAAGCAACCTTAAATCGCACTTTAAAAAAAGATGTGCAAGAACAGAAATTCATTTAGCTACATAAACTTAGAAGCAGGGCCTCTCGAATTCTGCGGCAAAATTTGTGGTAAGTTCTGTTGCAATTATGTGTACCTGCAGAATTCACCTTTGGCAGAAGAATTCCTGAGAACCTGAAAAAAAGAAACCCTACCTTAAGTGTGAGATTAAAAACTGGCTGAAAGGGAATCTTACATAATCTGCAAAATATTGTGACCTAAATTGCTTAGTAAGCACTATCAAACCATGCTGTTTGCAAAACTCCAGTAAGAAACAGGTGTTCCCTAATCTTACACAAGAAGCACTATCATTACTTTTCTCCTAAGCAGAAAAGATCATGTAGTGCCTGGAATCTACCATATACATTGTTAGTCTCATCTATCAGTTGTAGTACCAATTCTACTGTTTTAAATATTGATAATGGTTCAATACACCTTATTGTCTTAAAGAAAATTTGTATTTTTGTTGTTGAAAATATGGGTCTAGGGCTGGAAAGATGGCTTAGCAGTTAAGAACACTGGCTGTTCTTGCAGAAGACCCAGGTTCAAATCCCAGCACCCACATGGCAGCTAACACCTGTCTGTAACTCCAGTTCCAGGGGATCTTACAGCCTCTTCTGTCCTCTGCAGGCAATGCATGACACAGGTAGACTAACCTACATGCAGGTAATACATTCATACACATAAAAAAATAATAAATATTTTTTAAAAAGGACGGGTTTAAAAATTCTACCTGCAAAAACAAAACTTTAAGGAATTTATTTGATATTTCCCCTCTTTACTTTCCAGTTGGTTTGGTTTCCTGAAATGAAAAAAAAAAAAAACCCTTAAAGACTCAAATGTAAAAAATTATGTCCAGAGCTGGGAGTATGCCTGAGGGGCAGAGCATAGGTTGAGCCTCAGTGAGGCCCTGGTTCAACCCCCAGCAACAACACAAAAAAGAAAGCAAAATGAAACACGGGAAAAATAAAGTTCTGCCCAAAGCACACTCTAGAAGCTTAGATATTACAGTCTCTTCAAACCAGGCACCACTCCCAGCACACCAGGTCTCTGCTTTAGGGAGAGTTAGCCACAATCTTATTACAACAGAATATCCAAAATCAAAACATTCACCTTATGTCCATTTTAGAATAGTTAAGAAATTTAACCATTTCAATGATGTTTAAAATGAATACTACTACTACCAGCTGAATTAGAAATATGCCTCATCTCAAAAACTATAGCAGATTATCAATAATGGTTCTATCTAGGAAATAAAATAATGGAGAACTTTCATTTTATGTCATTTCTGCCTGAGCTTCATCACTTTTACAAGAAAAAGCTACCAAAGCCAGCCATGGTGGCACACACCTTTAATCCCAGTACTTAGGAGGCAGAGGCAGGCAGATCTATGAGTTCCAGGCCAGCGGGAGCTACAACAGGGAAACCATGTCTCAAAAAGAACAACAAAAAAAGCAACCTGAGTTCAATCTTCTGGAACCCACATATAGGTGGTGGAAGGAGACAAGTAACCCCACAAATTTGTTTTCTCATCTCTACATGCATGTTATGACACCCATACCTGGGCACATGCACACACACAGACTTTTTAGCTGTTGTTTTGAGAGGCAGCCCCGGCTGGCCTCAAACTCATCATTCACCTGCCTCTGCCACCCAAGTGAAAAATGCATTTTAAAAATTTAAGGTATGGGGCTGGGGAGATGGCTCAGTAGTTAAGAACACTGAATGTTCTTGCAGAAGACCCAGGTTTGACTCCCAGCACCCATATAGCAGCTAATAACTGTCTGTAACTCTAGTTCCAGAGGATCCAATGCCCTCTTCTTAACTCTGCGCGTGCACTTACATATGTACAGGCAAAACACTCATACACATAAAATAAAAATATTAAGCCAGGCGTGGTGGTCCCAGTACTGGGGAGGCAGAGTTCAAGGCCAGCCTGGTCTACATAGTAAGTTCCAGGACAGTTGGGGCTACACAAAAAATAAAAAATAAAAAAAAAATTTAAGGTACAGTAGCAAAATGAATTATTATAAAACTGGTAAAAGTAGCTTACTGGCCCTGCAGTCAGCTTCAGGTAAGTTAAGTCAAATGGGAGGTGGCCAATTCCTTTTTTATGAGACAGGGTCTTATGTAGAGGGTGACTTTTCTTATCCTCCTGCCTCTACCACTAATGTGCTCAGATTATACAGGTACAAAATACTATTCAGGGTTTGTGGGATGCTGGGGAGCAGATCTAGGGCTTCATGCATGCAAGGCAGCACTCCACCAACTGAGGTACACCCCTAACTCTCAATACTTTTCCTTGATAGAAATTTAGTTGAAATCTTAGAAGATTAACATCAAAGTATTTAGAAGATTAGTGAAGTTCTTACTTTATTTTCCAACACTAAACATTTTTCATAGCTCAAGCAATATTACACTAAGTGCATCAGCCTGTTTGAAAGATATTAGCTAATATTATTTATGAGACCTGCCTTCCAGTTAGATCAAAGTTTATACTGAAATTACCTCAAAGCAAAGATTATCCTAAACTGTCCAAAACACCTGAGATTTTTAAAAAGAAGTCTTACCGTCTCCCTGGAGACCGGCTCCTCCTGTGCCTTGGGGGAGGAGGCATCCGCCTTGGTGGTGTTCTTCTTCGAGGAGATGGTCGCCTTCTTGGGCTTGGTCGTCTTCTAGGTGAGTATGATCTGCCATGACAAACAGAATTAGGCCCTGAATAAACCAAGAACAATGAATTCCTCGATATTTTCTAATTGCCACAATTCAAAAAAGTTTCAGGGGGCCACTATTTTCCATTGATGCTACATAGAAAGGAAATGTGCCCTCTATGCAAATATAGAATAACACTTGTATATTTTCTTTTTTAAATTTAGTTTTATATTTTTATGTGTATCCGTTTTGCTTGCATGTATGTAAGTGCACGTGTGTCATGCAAAGCCCACAGAAGCCAGAAGAAAGTATTAGATCCCCTGAAATTGAAGTTAATGGATGACTGTTAGCCGCCACATGGGTTCTGGGAATTGAACATGGGTCCTCTGGAAGGACAGCCGGTGTTCTTAACCATTGAGCCATCGCCCCAGCCCCAGTACTGAACAAAAGTTTTCTATGATATTATCTGTACCATTTTACCTTGGAAAACAGGACATGACATAAAACCTAAATCTTTAGGCCACAACACACCTTGATCGGGATCTGTGTCGCCGTCTTGGTCTGTTATGAGAAGGAGATCGAGATCGTGTTCGTGATCTTGACTTGGAACGTGACCGAGATCTTGGTCGAGTCTTTTCCTTTTCCTTTTTAGAATTTTTTTCCGGAGAAGGTTCTTTAGGTTCTGGTACAGGTTCAGGCTTAGGAGCTTTCAAGATGTCGCTGTGAAAATAAAGCTTATTTTCACTCTTCTACTCAGAATCCTAAATCAATACATATGATATAAAGACATCAATTTCTATTTTAAATGTTCAAGGGGCTGAAGAGATGGCTTAGTGGTTAAGAGCACTGGCTGCTCTTGCAGACGACCTGGGCTCAGTTCTCAGCACCCACAGGGCAGGTAACTCCAGTTCCAGGGTTCAGACACCCTCTTTCAGCCTCTGTGGGCACTGCACACACATGGTGCACTTACATACATACAGGGAAAACACGTATATACATTTAAAAAAAAAAAAAAAAAAAAAAGAGTTTGCTGGGCGTGGTGGCACATGCCTTTAATGCCAGCACTTGAGAGGCAGAAGCAGGTGGATCTCTGAGTTCCAGGCCAGCAAGGCCTACAGGGAGACCCTGTCTCAAAAACACAAAAAAGAAAGTTTAAAATGGCTGTTTGGTAAAGCACCTGTGGTACAAGTCTGATAACCTCAGCTTGATCCACGTCAAGTTGTTCTGACAGTGCACCCACGTACAGATCACAAACACACTTAATAAATTAAAAAATACATGACTAAAAAGTCAATTTAAAAAAATAAAAGTTGTTCATGTGTGGTGGCGCACATCTTTAATCCCAGCACTCAAAAGGCAGAGGCAAGCGGATCTCTGTGAGTTCAAGGCCAACCTGGTCTACACAGTGAGTTCCAGGCCAGGTGGGGCTATAAGGAGACCCCTGTCTCAAAGACACCCACCCGCCCTCCCTGACAAAAAAGTTCTCAAAATCTGCAAAGATCCCCCTGGCCTCAAAATAGAGGTACATATCAGTGGAATGAATCCACTGAGTAACAATTTATAACCATGTTTCTTTTTTTTTGAGTGCTGGGACCAAAGATGTGCACCACCACCCCAGCCTATAACCATGTTTCTTAAATACAAAGTGTAACATGGGGTCTGGGGCAACTGTGCTATCTGGGCCCTACCGCCATGTCTAAGCAGAACTATTCTTTTGTGGACACCACCCTGCTAGGGCAGTTCAAGGTCCAGTAGGCCTGAGAGAACTGAGCCATGGCACATTCACTGAGTGAGAAGCCTTTGAAAAGACTAAGTAGCTACTTTTTCAAGGGTGCTAGAGCCAAGGCCTGCAGAGGTGAGGGCTGGGCTAATGTCCACATGTTAGAGTCCCCGAAGCCTGGTCTGATGGGGGCCCTTGGAGCTTTAGGGAGTCAGATGTTGCATGGACCTGATGGCCCATGCCATGAGCCGAGCCAGGGCAGCATTGACTGTCTGCTTGTCATGTGTGTCATCTGTAAATGGGAAGGCAGTCTGCAGCCAGAGCTGGAACTGTGCGAGTAAGCCTTGTGTGCCTTCTGGATTACTCTCCTACCCTGAGTGGCAGGTGTGCTATGATGGAAGCCTGAGGCAACCATGGACAGCACAAGATGTTTACACTCAAGAGAGACGAAGTGGTTTTCATGTTATATTTTGAACCCCAGTAATAGAAACAATTTTTTTCTTTGTCTTTTTGAAACAGGGTCTCCCTATAGCCCCAGCTGGCCTAGAACTCACTATGTAGACCAGGCTGGCTTTGAACTCACAGAGATCCACCTGCCTCTGCCTCCCAAGTGCTGGGACTACAGGCATGCACCACCATGACCGGCAAATCTTTTTTTATTTGGAAAAAAATACAAAGTTGGTTGGGGTTGTAACTCAGTGGTAAAGCACTTACCTAGTGTGCCAGCTCTGGACTATAGCCCCTAGACTACAAACAGAAAAGAACAAAGGAAAAATTGTCCACAATATATTGGGGTAAGGAAGTGGGGAAATCAAGTTACAACATATAAAATTTCCGAAAAAAAATATAACTAAGAGACAAGTAGTCACCTCTGAGGCATTTTCTGATATTGCAGACAATTCCAGTTTCATTTCTACAAGATAACTTTTTTAAAAAACTTGGGGCTGCCGGGCATGGTGGCACACCTTGTGGCTGGAGAGACAGCTCAATGGTTAAGTGCTTTTGCAGAGGACCTGGGTTCTATTCCTAGCACCCACATGGTGGCTAACAACTGTAACTCCAGTTTCAGGGGATCCAACACTCTCTTCTGACCTCTGTGGGCATTGTATGACATGGGTGCACTTACATACATGGAGGCAATACACTCATACACGTTAAAAAAAAAAGAAGTCAAAATGGAAAGTAATCAAAGTAGTGATGCACATCTGCAGACACCAGTCCTCTAAATCAGCTTCTGGAACTTGCCTGGTGGAGGTAGCCTCCTGTACCGATGAGTCTTTCATTTTCACTGAAGGTTCTGGGAGCTCTGGAGTCTTTTCCTTCTTTTCTGGGGCAGGGGAAGGACTCCGGCTCTTGGTTCTGTGACGGGGAGATCGAGAATGACTGCGCTTTCTCTCTCTCCTGACAGGGGAAGATCGTCTTCTAGGGGAAGGAGATCTGGATTTGCGTCTAGGATGAAAGCAATTTTTTCAGGTTTTTGAACAATGGTTTGGAGGAGAGGGCAAAAGGGAGAAGCAAGGATTCATCTTTTAAGTTACCCACTGTTGTTTGTATCTGAGAAGTTTCATATGGATACAAGATATCGCATTTCATCTACTCGGTAAGGAAAAGGCCAAGAGAAAACTAGAAGGACAAGCACATGAAAGATAACAGCCTCAAACATATCTGCTAGGAGAAAAGCACCAGCTGGCAACTGGCGCTGGTTCTTAACCATTTCCAGTATCATTCAAAGACCAACTTCTCAAGAGAAAAAGACACTTCGAAATAAAGCAACGATACTCCTTAACAATGTTATCAATCCAACCGAAATACAGCATTTAGGTACAGACAGCCCTCACCAGAGTTGATCAGGCAGAAAAATGACTGGCAATGCAAGCGATATGCTCTTCACAAGAAAACCACCAGCCTTGCAAAAGATGACTTCTGGGGGGAAAATGAACGCCCCCTTCTTCCCTTTTAGTTGTAGGGTATCTAACTTGAAGGAGTGTTTTCTCTTCAAATTATTTACAATAAAAGCAGCAGACTTAATTCAGCAAAAGTCATTATCAATGGGATGGCTTATGCTTAACTTCAGAAGTACTGCTTCATAAGGTTTTAGTAGTCAGCAGGAGCCAAAGAACAAAGAAATTACCTCTTCTTCCCTTTACTAATTCCCACAGTTTATCTAAGAAAAATCCTAAAAATGAAAAGCCTAATGGAATTCTCACCTTTCACCACAAATATAGTAGAAGCTGAAGCGTGGATTTAAAAATGTGAACCTAACAATAGTCTCATTGGAAGAAAGAAGAAAACAAATAAATGATCTGAAGTTGGGGTTCAGTACAACCATCTAAGAAAAGCAGAACAAGGAGTTAGGTAGTATACGAGCGGCCAACGAGCAGATTTTAATAAAAAGGAAAAGAAAACAGCTAGGAAGGATACAAAAAAAAAAAAAAATCAATTAAACACTATTTTGATAAAGCAGTATGAGGTTAGATTTCTATTTAAGAAAATATTAACTTACTAAAATCTTAAGAGACGATCATTTTACTCAAATGATCCATCTTAAATGAAACATAAGATTTGTTTTTTGAGGCACATCATAGTGCTGCTGGGGCTGCCTAGATTGCCTCAACCTCTGAGCAGCTGGGCTACAAGCATGTGCCACAATGCCCAGCAGCATAACAGATCTCTTCAGCCCAGAGGCAAACAATAGCTCAACCCTAACAACTGCCAGATGGAAGAAATTCTCCGGAAATGTTCCCAAATTGCTCTAAATCTGGAAGCTTCTACCAGAACTCCTTAAGCCCCCAAGCACCCACGAAGCACTGTGCAGGCATCCGTCATGCCATACCTTCTGGGGCTGCGAGAGCGCTCCCTTTTCTCTCGGCTGCTTTCTTTCTCTTCCTTATCCCTCTTATCTTTGTCTTCATCTTGCTTTTTCAGAGACGCCAATTTTTCTTGTTCAATCTGCAAGGTCAGGTTTTTGAAAGCACCCACAGTGAACATCTGAGAAGA